TTCTGTGTTCTATTTTTGTCTTGGTTATATAGTTGTGGTGGCTGGTGGCTGGTTCACGATTTGGATATGTAAGTGTTTTGCGTGCATGTTTTTTTTTTCTTTTTTACAGGTCTACAAGCTATACATATCTAAATAGAAATTTATATTTCATGTGATTTATTAGTATTGTTATGATGATGATGATTATGATTATTATCACCTTAATTAAACATGTAAAAAACACAAAAGGTCCCTTATATTTTATCACATTATATAAATCATCTATTGGAGGAAAGACGTTGAAATTTTAACGTAAAAACCAACGAACGCCAATTTTCCTGCCGGTTCAGTTACTTCGAGAAAAGTAAACAGGTGCGTTCGAGCGTGCTGAGAACTTTTTTCGAAAAAATTGCCCTTCCCTTTCTATTTTAATTTTCTTGATATTTCTTACATTCTCAAGTTTACCGCGCACGCGAAGAAATTTGGTGGGGAAACATTTCCTGTAAGGCATTCTGAATAAATCGAGATCGGGGAATTGGAAATGGAACAAGGGTAAGTAAAGCTTATGACGCCTTGGCAACTATGAGGTATGTCTGCATGGACATCATGCAAAATTTCGGCTTGGATTTGTGGGGGGAGGCGGGCGGATGGGGGTGGGGTTGGGGGGGAGATGGCTTTGCTTGAATTTTGTCTTCGCTTACCTTCCTTCTTCTTCTCTCTCTGTACTCTCTTCTCTCTCTCTCTCTCTCTCTCTCTCTCTCTCTCTTCTCTCTATCTCTCTCTCTTTCCTCTCCTCTCTCTCTCTCTCCTCTCTCTCTCTCTCTCTCTCTTCTCTCTCTCTCTTCTTCTCTCTCTCTCTCTCTCTCTCTCTCTTCTCTCTTTCTCTTTCTCTTCTCTTTCTCTTTTCTCTTTCTCTTTCTCTCTCCCTTACGTCTCCCTCTTCCTTCCTTTTCCCTCTCTCTCCCCCCCCTTTCCCTTTCCCTCTACATCTTTCCTCTCCTTCCGCATCCCCTCCTCTCCTCTCTTTCCCTATTCCACTACCCTCTCCCTCTCCTCTCCCTCACCCTTTCCATATATTTCTTCCTCTCCTTCCGCATCCCCCTCCCCTCCCCTGTTCTACCTGTTCCTCTCTCCTCCCCCTTCCTCCCTCCTCTCCCCCTCCCTTCCCTCTCCTTCCCCCTCTCTCTCCCTCTCCCTCTCTTATTTTCTCTCTTATCTATTATCCATCTCCATCGCTCGCCCAAACAGTCTCCACTCGTTTAGCCATTTCTCTTCCAGCTCCCTCACCCGGGACTCCTAATTAGCCAGTGGGATCTCGCCCAAAATCATGCGTTTCTTTTTTATCTATTATTTTTTTCTTTTTTTTTCGTTTTTCTTTTTTTTTTTTTTTTTTCTTATTTTTCGTTTTTTCCCTAGTTTTCTTATTTTTCGTTTCTTTCTTCTTCTTTTTCTTTTTTTCTTTTCTCTTCTCTTTTCTTTTCTTTTTTCTTCATCTTTTTCTTTCTTCTTCCCTTTTTCTTCTTTTTTCTGTTTTTTTTTTCTCTTTTTTCTATCCCTAATTCCGTTTGTTTCCAAATATTTCGAGTCGTCCGGGTGGCTGCATATATTAGGAGGCGGGGGGGGAGGGATTTCCGCGCTGAGGCCAACCAGTTACCGGATTAATACGGACCTCGGGAATTTTCACAGTCCTCTGAAGTCAGCGGGGATGGAGGGCGTTGGAGGGGTTGTTGGGGGATGGGGGGATGGGGGTTGGGGGGTATGGTGGTTGTCATGGGGTGGAGGGGGTTGTAAGGGTTGTTGGGGATGGGGGGTTGGTAGAGGTGGTGGGGGGATTGGTAGGAGGGGGTGGTTGGTAGGGGTTGTTGGGGGATGGGGTGGGTTGGTGGGGGGGGTTTGGTGGGGGTTGTTAGGGGGTGGGGTGGTGTTGAGGGGGTTGGTGGTGGGGGGTTGTTGGGATGGGGTTGGTAGGAGGGGGTGGTTGTCAGGGGGTTGGTAGGAGGAGGGGTTGTCAGGGGGGTTGTGTAGTTGTGTTGTTGGGAGGGGGGTTATCAGGGGGTTGGGTAGGTGGTGGTTGTCCGAGGGGTTGGTAGGACGGGGTGGATGTCAGGGGGGATTGTTGTAGGGGGTTGGTAGGAGGAAGTGGTTGTCAGGGGGGTTGGTAGGGAGGGGGTGGTTTGTCAGGGGTTGTTGGGAGGGGGGGTTATCAGGGGTTGGTAGTGGTGGTTGTCCGGGGGTTGGTAGGACCGGTGGTTGTCAGGGGGTTGGTAGGAGGGGGTGGTAGGAGGGGGTTGTTGGGGGAAGGTTATCAGGGGTGGTATGTCTTGGTGGATGGGTTAGGAGGAGGTTGTCAGAGAGGGGGGGTTGTCAAAGGTGGTGGGGTTGAGTTTGAGGGTTAGATTGTCAGGGATGGTGTCAGGGGGGCGGGGGGTCTGAGGGTCGTTGCCAGGGATGGTTTTGTAGATTAAGTTATCTGGTGATGGTTAGTGTTTGGTTGTTGTCATGGTTGGTTTTCAAGGATTAGGTATGAGGGATGACCTTCTAGGATTTACTGCCAGGGATGATTGTTAGAATTTTCCTGAAGATGAATATTCAAGATTTTTTTTTGACAGGGTTGCTTGAATTTATCAGGGATTTGCTTTAGGATTTATCAGGGATTTGGTTGTCAGGATTTGTCGGGTATTAGTTGTCAGGGTTTGTCGGGGATTTGTCAGGGTTTATTATGAGTGGGATTTGTTAGTATTTATCAGGGATATGTTGTCAGGATTCATCAGGGATGCATTTTTTAGGCTTTAGGCTTTTTTTTGTCAGGTCATCAGGGATTTGTTGTAAGGATATATGGATTAATTTTCTTATCGGGATTTGTTGTCAGGATTTATCAGAAATTATCAGGGATTTGTTGTCAGGATTTATCAGAAATTATCAGGGATTTGTTGTCAGGATTTATCAGAAATTATCAGGGATTTGTTGTCAGGATTTATCTAGGATTTGTCAGAAATGATTAGGGATTTATTGTCTGGAATAGTTTTCAGGGATGATCGTGGATTGGTTGTTAGCGAGGAATAGGGTGTGGAGGTGGGAGGGGGGGGGGGTATAAGAGGCAGGTCTGTTGTATCTCCTCAAGATGAATGGACGGAGGGACAGGCGGGTGAATGAATGGGGTCGACGTACAGCTGATCGGGGGACAGCGGCGCCCAATCCCGAGTGCGTTGATTGGTCGCGTAGGCTGTGTAGAATGGGGCAATAACATTGGCTTTTTGGGCGGGGGGAAGTGGGGGAGGGGAAGGAGGAGGGAGGGGAAGAGGGGGGGAGGGGGAGGGGGGATGGGGAGGGGAGGGAAAGGGGGGAGGGAGGAGGGGGAGGGGAAGGGAGGGGAGGGGAGATTGGGAAAGGGAGGGAAAGGGAGGGGGAAGAGGAAGGGGAGGAAGGAAGAGGGAGGAAGAGGAGGAGGGGGAAGAGGGGAAGGGAGGAGAGGAGGAGGGGGTGGTAAGATGTGAAGGAGAGGGGAAGAGGAGAGAAGGAGAAGAATAACATGAATGGGAAGGGGAGAGAAAGAGGAAGGAGGAGGGGAAGAGGAAGAGAGAGGAAAGGGGAAAAGGTAAGAGAGAGAAAGAGGAAGAGGGAAGAAAGAGAAGAGGAAGAAGAAGAGAAGGGAAGAGAGAGGAAGAAAAAGAGGAAGCGGAAGAGGAAGACCGAGAGGGGAGGATGAGGGGAGGAGGGAGGGGAGAGGCGGAGGCGGGATGCTGGGAAGAGGGTGATTGGCCATGCCGTGAGATTAACGCGGCGGTGTAATGAGGGCGTGTAAATGATGAGGGCCGTTGATGAGGTGATGGTCAGGCGGAGATGTTGATGAGTTTCAGTCCCGGGGGAGAGAATTGCGGCGCGCGAGAGAGGCGGGCCGGATTGGCGCTCTGAGGGGGGGGGGGGACTTTTTCTGTCTTTGGGCTCTTTGGGGTTTTGGTTGTTTTTTGTTTCTTTTTGTGTGTGTTTGGCTCTTGGGTTGGTTGGTTGTGTTTTTTTTTTATTGTTTGTTTTTTGTGTGTGTTTTCTATGTGTTGTGTTTTTTTATTTGTTCTTTTGATGTATGTTTTCTTTTCGTGTTTTTGTTTTTATTCGTTTCTTTTTTGTATGTTTTCTTTTGTGTTTTTTTATTTTTGTTTTTGGTATGTTTATTCTGGCCTATATATATATATATATATATATATATATATATATATATATTTCTTTCGTGATTTTTTTTTATCGTTTCTCTTTGTATATTTTCGGCTCTTTTTTTCGTTTTTAATGTTTTTTCTTGATTTTTTTCGTTTCGTTTTTTATATTTCTTTCATGGTTTTTTTTTCATTTCTTTTTATTTTCTCTCATCTCTTTTTTATTCGTTTCTTCTTTTATATATTTTCTTTCATGACCCTTTTTCGGTATTTTTTAATTTCTTGTATCCTTTTTCTCGCTTTTGTTTAATTCTTTATTTTCGTTGCTTTTTACCTATCTTTGATGATATTTTTGTTATTTTTACATATTTCCTTCATTCTCTTTTATCGTTTCTTTTTTAATATTTCTTTCATACTCGTTTTTCTCTTTCGTAGCATTTGAATTTGTAGGAAGTTGGTTTCTTACGTTTTTTCTAATTTTCTTTTACTTTTCTCTGTTGTTTTATTTCTCTTTCTTTGTTCTATATTCTTTGTAAGACATTAGTTTTGTGCGTTTTCCTTTTTTCTTTCATTCGTTGTTTTGTAATTCTTTCATCTAAAGAAAACATTTCTTGTGGGTTGTCTTTTTCTTCCTTATTTAACCCTTCTTTTTATATTCCTTCCTTTCATCTATTCCATTTTCTTTGTTTTTCTTTCTCTTTTCTTTCTACTTTCCCTTTCTTTGTTTTTCTTTCTCTTCTCTTTCTACTTTCCCTTTCTTTCCTAAGCGCGTCTGTACAAGTAATACGTCGGGTCTTTACCTCGGGCTTTCGTCCTATCCGAATCCCCGAGGGCGCATTAGTCAAGGGCGCCTCTCTGTTGTGACAGAATCACTCAGACATGATGAAGGGGGCGCTGGCGAGACCTTCGACGCGTCTTGGGCGGGTCGGGCTGGCGCTTTGGGGGGCGTGGCGTGGGCTCTGAACTGCGGTTTGGTGTCGTGGGCGGGTGTCGTGGGGTGGTGTCGTGGGCGGGGATTTGGGTCGTGGGTTTGTGGTGGGGTTGTCCTTTGGGTTGTCCTTTGGGGGTTTTACTGTGGGCTTGTGTAGGGTTGTCTTTTGGGTTTTTACTAGGGTTGTGGGGTTTTTTACTGTGGGCTTGTTGCGGGTTGTCCTTTGGGGTTTCTACTATGGGCTTGTGTGTGGGGTTGTCCCTTGGGGCTTGTACCGTGGGTTTGTTCCTTGGGCTTGTGTGTGGGTGTATTGTGTGTGTGTGTGTGCGAGTGTGTTTGTGTTTGTGTGTTGCGAGTGTGTGTGTTTGTGTGTGTGTGTGGCACGAGGGGCGTCGCAGGAGGGGAGGGTCGTGGGCGAAGTGAGTCCGAGTCCTGGGTCCAGAATCACAGCATCCAGTTCAAGAAGAAAGAAAAAAAAAAGAAAAAAGAAAAGAAAGAAAGAAGAAAAGAAAGAAAGAAGAAAAAAAGAAAAAGAAAGAAAAGAAGAAAGAAAGAAAAAAGAAAAAGAAAGAAAGAAGAAAAAAAAGATAACAGAAAGAAGAAAAAAAAAAAAAGAAAAAAGAAAAAAGAAAAGGAAGAGAAAAAATAACAAGAAAAAGAAAGGAAGAAAAAAGTAAAAGAAAGAAATAAAGAAAAGAGAATAAAAAAATATCGCACGGAGACACATTATCGACAGGCGAAGAAGGAAGAACGGCGGAGAAGATAAACCGGGTGCTCTGTCGCGGAGTGGGCGTGCGGGCGTGCGGGCGGGGGAGGCGATGGGGAGTATTGGAGACCGGCGAGCATGTGGGAATGGGCACGGCGGGGCGGCCACCGGGACGCGACCTTGATAAATGGTGTTGTTTTTGAGGATGGCCCGGTGATTGTGGGCGGCGCGGAGAGGCGGGGGCGGGGGGTGGGGAGGGCGGGGGGGGCGGGGTGGGGTAGGGCGGGGGGGGGAAGGGGAAGGGGAGGAGAGAGGGTCGGGTTGTGTGGGACGGGTGGATAGAAGGGGAAGTAGGGTGGGGGGGAAGGAGAGGGTCGGGTTGTGGGTCGGGTGGAGGGGGAGGGTTGTTTTGTTGGGGGGGGGGAAGTTGCAACCATTAGCCACACCTGAAAAATTATCTGGGTCTTTCGGCCTTGAGTTGCGCCTCTCGTGTTGTGCTGAGCTTCCCCCCCCCCCCCTCTTGGGCTCTCTTCCCTCCTTCCGCCTTCTTCTTCCTCCATCTCCTCTTGTTTCTTTTCCTACTGCTCTTCCTTCCCCTTCCTTTTTTTTCTTCTTTCCTTCCTCCTTTTCTTTCTTTCTATTCTCTTCCTCCTCCTTCCATTTTTCTTCTCTCCTCCTCTCTTTTCTTCTTTCTCTTTTGCTTCTCTCCAACTTCGTCCTCCTCGTTTTCTTCTTTCTCGTTACCCGTTATTCTTTTCCCTTTCCCTATTTCGTTCTCTATTTTCGTCCATTTTTTTTTTTAATTTTTTTTCCTCTCTCGGTCCTTTCTCTTCCCTCCCTCGATTGTGTGTTTGTTATCCCGGGCTGATGATGAAACGCGCGAGCACTGAATCGTTTCTTCATGAATAAAAACTCGATGGATCAAATTGTTTCTATTATCTGTGTTATTGTGCGATGTGTAGTAGGCCTATATGTTTTGTGTGTGTCGGGGGTGGGGGGGGGGGTGTAGGTGTCTGTGTGTGGGTGGTGGGGGTGGTGGGTGTAGGTGTAGGGTAGGTCTTGTGTTACGTGTGTGTGTGTTGTGTGTGTGTGTGTGTGTGTGTTGTGTGTGTGTGTGTGTATGTATGTATGTATGTATGTAGGTCTGTGTGTACGTGTGTGTGGGGTGTGTATGTACGTATGCATGTGTACGTATGTGTGCGTTCGAGCGTTTGTGCATGGTGTTCATTTTCGAACGATATTGCAGGATATGATTTTATATATCATGTCTATTACTAGTTGAATGTCATTCTCATGGAACTTATATTTGAAATGATTTGGTTGAGCCGTTCTTCAAGGGGGGGGGAGGAGGCTTTAGGGGCTGGCGCGTCTCGATCGCTTGCTTTATCGTCAGCGAATTCCTTTGAAGGGGGAAAGGGAGGGGGGCTAACGGAGAAGGGAAAAGGGAAGGGAAGGAGAAGGGAAGGAAGGGGGAGGGGAGAGGAGGGAAAGGGGATGGGGGAGGGAGAGGAAAGGAAAAAAGGGAGGGGAAGGGGAAGTGGAAGGGAGAGGAGAGGGAAAGGGCGAGGAGGGGAGAGGGGAAGGGAGAGAAAAGGAAGGAGAGGAGGAGGAGGAGAGGAGAGGAGAGGGAGGAGAGTGAGGGGAGGGAGGGAGGGAGGGCGGGAGGGGAGGGAGGGAGGGAGGGGAGGGGAGGGGAGGGGAAGGGAGGGGATGGGAGAAAGGAAAGAGAAGGAAGGAGGGAGAAGGAAGGGAGAAGGGAGAGGGAGGGAGGGAAGAGAGGAAAGAGAGAAAGAGGGAAAGGGAGGGGGGAGGGAAGATGATGAGGAGAAGGTGAAGGAAAGGAGTGGAAAAGAAAGGGGAGGAGGAGTGGGAGAGAGGGAATGGGAAGAGGGAGACGGGAGAGAGGAAGGAGTTTTAGGGGAACGTCGCTGGCTTGCTTCCGCTTGATTTCTTTTCCACGGCCAAACTTTCCAGGTAAATTACGTAAGTTTAAGTTATATAAGTATCGACAAGTTAAGACGTCGCGTCGACCGATTTTTCTTCTTTTTTTTCTTGGCGTCCCCGAGCTGACCTATGGGCAGCAGGGGGCGGTGAGGACGTCCTCTTCGTCTCTTTTATCCTGTCTCTCTTTCTCTTTTCATTTTTTTCTCTCTCTCTCTTCTTCTTCTTTCTCTATTTCTTTTCTCTCTTCTCCTCTCTCTCTCTCTCTCTCTCTCTCTCTCTCTCTCTCTCTCTCTCTCTCTCTCTCTCTCTTCTCTCTATCTCTCTCTCTCTCTCTCTCTCTCTCTCTCTCTCTTCTCTCTCTCTCTCTCTCTCTCTCTCTCTCTCTCTCTCTCTCTCCCCCCCCCTCTCTCTCTCTCTTCTCTGTGTCCCCCTTTATTTTCCCCATACAAAATTTATATAACTGCAATGGGCGTTCTCTCTCCCTTGACCTCGCTTCTCGCAAGACCTGCCTTGACCTGACGCCGCCTCGGAGCTCGACTGATTAGGAAGAAGGATTGGGAAGGATTGGTAAACTTGCTGGAATGTTCAACGCCCTAATCAATGTTTGGGTTTAGTTCCACGCCCTTATATATGTTCCGATACGGCAGTCCTAGGGATGACCATAGAGATAGATTTTAATGTTTAGGTTTAAGAAAGTACCGTGTCACTCGTCACAAGAAAGGGAAAGAATAGAATAATAAGATAAAGGAGAGAGAGAGAGATTCTTCGAGGTGATCCAGAGATAAAGAAGCGACATGAATACTTTGAAATTTGAAACAAACAAAGGAAACAGTATTAACACCGGAATTTGAAACAATCAGAAAGGAAATGGGATTACATTAGAAATTAAATAATCAGAAAAGAAACGGAATAAATACTTAAAAGTGACATAATAAAAAAGGGAAATAAATATACAGAAATACATATAGAAAAAAAATATAAATAACATAGATAAAATATAATATAGAAATATAATAAAATATAGAAATATAGAAAAAATATATATAGAAAATATATAATTAGAAAAAAATAAATATAGAAAAAATAAATATAGAAAAAATAGATATAGAAAAAATATAGAAAAAAAGGGAAAAAATACACAGAAATACATAGAAATGAAGCCATCCAACGAGGAAGCGAGGGACAGGAGGGCCTTGGCTACCGCAGGAGAGGAGCACGGACTGCCTCCTGCGTGTACTCGGCGGGCGTCTGAGGGTGGCAGGTGCACTCGAGTGGAATATCAATTACCGGAAGTGACTTAAAACAATCCCGGGGCAAGCCATAGGGAGAGCAGGGGCAGGGGGAGGGTCGTGGAGGGAGGGGAGGAGGGGGGAAAGGGAGATATATAAGGGTGACGTGGCAACGAGTATCGATTTGATATGAGGAAGGGAACGGCCTGTCGTGGCCTTCGTCTTCTTGCCCGGTCTCTCGAGGGCGGTGGGCGGGCGGGCGGGCGGGAGGGCGGCGAGGGCCATCGTCCTGCGGGCCCTGGCGCTCCGGGTGCCGCTGCGGTGCCGCGCCCTTCGCTCCTTCGGTTCAGAGGGTACGTGCATGCATGGATACATGATACCATACATGGATACATACATGCATGCATACATACATACATACATATGGCATACATCGAGTATAGTGAGCATACATACATACTCAATACATACATACATACATATACGAGTACATTACAATACATTACATATCTATCATATTCCATAACATACAAATACTAATACATACCCACACCACACTACATGCACATAGTAGCACCCACCTGCAATCAAATCCACATAGATAATACTATATACATATGTATATTAATGTATATCAATACATTACATACTACATATATTTAATATTACATTAATACATATATATATAATATACTATTGGACGTGTATATTTCTATCTACAATAAGATAATTATTAGTAAATATAATTGCATATAATTATATTTACATATAGTATAGTGATTTTTAATAATGTACTCTATAGCCGCATAATATGACTTGTACTGAATATTCTCAATTGATTACCCAACTAGAACCTCAGTACATAATGGCATTTCTGGCTTTAGGATTCTGAATGAATGTAGTGAGTATTAATATTTTGATAGCATAGTGAGTCCGTCTATGAGTTCTTGATTACTCCAATAGGTATATACTATATTACTATATAAGTGGTAATTCTCAATTTATACTCATTCCTTTAATTCTCTTTATTTGAGTATATAATAGGGTTATAGGTCAATTTATATTTTTTTTTTTATTTATTTTATTTATATTATTTTTTTATGTTTTATTTGTCATTTTGGAACCTGATGAAATATAAATATTATAACTATATAAACTATTTATTAAATATGTATAATATAGTATTTTTTCGCGGTATTAATTAACTTTTCTGTGATTACTTATATATGTATTTATTTTATAATGTGAATGCGCCAGTATATGTTATCTTCTACTCAGAGCATACTCTAGTTATATAGTGTGTCTAGGCATTGTAAAGGTATACCAGCCTATTAGGATATATTTCCTTTATTTATTATTATTATCCCCCTCACCCCCTCCATTTACTATATACCGATTTTTACTCTAACTGGACAGTCTATTCTTTAAAGTTACTGAATAATTGTTATATGGTGAAATTGTGTTATCTTACATTCGCTTTTAATAGACTTGTTGCGAAAAATGTTATAATAATCGATTCTTGTCTTGTTAAAGTATCTGACAACTTAGCATTATTGTTTGAGTACAAGCATCACAAACAGATTCACATGGATAGTGGTGGTGAATGGTGTGTGTGTGTAGTGTGTGGTGACAGACTCAGAGAGAGAGATGTGTGTGTAGCTGTGTTGTGTTGTGTGTGTGCCACGGCATAAACTTGTGAGTTGTTGTGAGTGTTGTGTGTGTGTGTGTGTATGTGTGTGTGTTGTGTGTGTGTGTGGTGTGAGAACTTGATGACTGATCTGTTTACGGCGTAAGGGTGATAGATGCTACCTTGAATAAGTGTGTAATATGTGACGTAGTATATTTATAGGTAATTGTAACCTATGTGTGTTTCTGTTGTAATATTAAGAGATCTACTCGGAGGGAAGTAGAGAAAACCCTTTTTTTAGTATTTATCTAATTTTAATATCTATCTTAGTCGTTTATATTTTTATAAAGGAAGTGAGGTGAGAAATAATTTATATATATAATTTAATATTCAATATAATTTATCATGCATTAAGTATACATAATGAGAATAATTATAATACTTATAGAATATATTTTAAATATACTATACATATATATAATATATATATTATATTATATATTTTATATATTATATATATATATATATAATATATATTAATAAATATATATATAAATATATTTAATGTCCTGAGTATATATATATATATATCGTATAGTTAATTGTACATAATTATGTATTAAATAATATAATCCACAACCCACTACACTCCACCACCAATAATAATATTATTATATTACACATATACTGCACATAGTTAATTGCAGTATACCATATATATAACCCAACCGTATAATATTTACGTATGCATTTATCTACTACTGTTTGATTACTTTGCGATGTATTTCACTAATGTTTATTAAGCATAATTTTTAAATCATATTTATATTATACATAATAATTATTTTACCTGTCCAGTAGAAAACTTGTTATCTATACAGATAAACTCATCATTAAACTTCGTATATATATAACTGATTATATATATATATAAGTCTAAATAACACGCTCCCTTTTTTACCACCCCACTCTCATGAGTATATTTAGGGTAAGGGGATGGGTAGATTATTATAAGAGATGAGAGGTATTATGGATAATGGTGTGGTGGGTAGGGGGGCAGCGAAAGGAGATAGGAAGGAAGGAAGGAAAGGAATGGGAGTGTCCGGTGTGGTGTACGTAAGAAACGCGGAGGCGGGGAAGAGAGCGAAGGACGACAAAGGACAGTTGCCAGGAGGGGGCGAGGGCGGCCGTGGGAGGGTGGATTCGGGAAGGAATATGTGGGGGGGGGGGATTTTGCGAAGGTGGAAGGGTTGGGGGTGGGGTGCTAGGTGGGGTGATGGGTGGGGATGGTGGAAGTCCTTTGAAGTGCTACCTTTCCTTATGCTCCCCACCCCCCACCCCTAGTCCCCCTGGGCGAATTAGAAATGAAAGGATTGGCTCTTGTCGTGCTTCTGGATTTTATATGATAAATGGTTTATTTTTTTTATTTTATTATTAGTTATTAGTTATTGTTAGTTAGTTTGTGGTTATTGTGTATTGTATTGTTATGTTATTGTTATTGTTATTGTTATTGTTATTGTTATTGTTATTATTATTTATATTATTATTATCTATTATTATTAATTATTATTATATTATATTTATTATTATTATTATTATTATTATTATTATTATTATTAATATTATATTATCATCATTATCATCATTATCATTATTATATTTTATTGTTATTATTATTTATTTATTATTATTATATTATTATTATTATTATTATATTATTATATTATTTATTATTATTATTATTATTATTATTATTATTATTATTATTATATTATTATTATTATTATTATTATTATATTATTTATTATTGTTATTATTTGCCACCCATTATTGTAACTTTGATATGATATTTCTAATTATTTACTTATTATTTCTTTATTTATGATATTATTATTTTATGGGCTATTGAATCATGTTGCCATTAGAACTGTTTAGTGAGTTATTTAAATGCCATTAAACTTAAAAAAAAATTATATAAAAAAATAAAATTAAACATTAAACTGTTTAATGCCATTAAGACTGCATAGTGAGTGAATAGTGTTTTCTTTCCCATATTATGTCACTGAGTCGAAAAGCATGTACCTCGGCTGGTGTCTTGCGTCATACTGTCGCAAATAAACCTCATTTTCCTTGTACGTGATTTGGTCGCACATTTGTACCATTTGTTATGAATTTGCAGCCATTCTTTTCCTCCTGTTTCGCAACGGCAGACGTGATCGCGACGAACCTGCTTCGCTTACCGAAGTTCGCTTTTCGAACTTGCATTGTCTGGCGGTTCGGGGGCGCTCTGCCTTTAAGTTTTTTTTTTCTCTCTCACTCTCTCTCTCTCTCTCTCTCTCTCTCTCTCTCTCTCTCTCTCTCTCTCTCTCTCTCTCTCTCTCTCTCTCTCTCTCTCTCTCTCTCTCTCTTTGGGGGGGGGGGGACGCCTATGTGTACACATAAAAGTACACATCCCCCACCTCCACACACACATACACACGTGTATTTATAAAATATAATGTATGTATGTATGTATATATATGTATATATATATATATATATATATATATATATATTATATATGTATAATATATATGTATATGTACATATACGTAAAACATGCATACATATATACGTAAAACATGGATACATATAAACACATACATATACATAAATCCATTCATACATACATACATACATACATATATACATACATACAAATAAACATACACAAAATGGTGTATGTATTTAGCTATTTCTTCTATCTAGTGCTAAGGTTCTAGCAAAGCAAAGAAGGTGTTGACTGAAGGATTGATGTTGAGGGGTTGGGGGAGGGGGGAGGGGGGGGGCTGAGGCAGATCCCAAGTCTGTTAATTGGAGTTGAGAAATTAGGATCCTTGTGACGCCGTGAAGGATTGCTCTCCACGGCAGCAAGAAGGAGGAGGAAGGGGGGGGAGAAGGAAGAGGACGAGGATGAGGAGGAGAAGGGAGAAGGAGAAGGACGAATGAGGAGGAGAAGGAGAAGGAGAGGGGAGAAGGGAAAGGAGTGAAGATGGTTGGAAAGGAGGGGAAAGGGGAGAAGGAGGACGCGAGAGAGAGGTATAGGAGAAGGGGAGAAGGGAAGGACTGAAAATGGTTGGGGAGGAGGAGGAAAGGGGAGAAGAAGAAGAAATCGAGGGGGAGGAGAAGAGAATGGGAAAAGGGATGGAATGAAGATGGAGAGGGGAGGGAGAAGGAAGGGAGAAGGAAGACACAAGAGAGAAGTAAAGGAGAGGGGAGAAGTTTGAAGAAGATAGGTTTGGGAGGAAAGAGGAAAAGGAAGAAGGAAGGAAGACGAGGGAGGAGGTGAGGGGGAGAGGAGGAAGACGAAAGGGAGAGAAGAATGGGAGAATGAAGAAGGAGAGTCGATAAGGAAGAGAGGAGAAGGGGAGAAGGTAGGAGGAAGACGAGGAGGGAGAAAAGGGAGGGGAGAGAGAAGAAGGAACACAAGAGGAGAGAAGGGAGAAGGAGGAAGACGAGGAGAGCTGAAACGATAGAGAGAAGGAGGACGAGAAGGAGGAGGAGAGGAGGAGAGAAAGAGGAGGAGGAGGAGGAGGAGAGGAGGAGAGGAGGAGGAGAGGAGGAGGAGGAGGAGAGGAGGAGGAGGAGGAGATGAGGAGGAGGAGGAGGAGGAGAGGAGGAGAGGAAGGAGAAGGAAGGATGAGAGAATGAGGAGAGAGGAGGAGGAGGAGAGAATGAGGAGAGGAAGAGAAATGAGGAGGAGGAGCAGAGAAATGAGGAGGAGGAGGGTGCAAAGCGACAGCCTCTCTCTTGGTGCAGGATGATGTTGCAACGACTATTACAGCAATTTTTTATATCATTTATAAGCGTGTACGTGGAAGTACGATGCTTGGAATGCGTGGGCAGGTTCAGGGTCTTATATAGCGAGTATTTTTACGAAAAAATGGAACGAGAGAGAGAGAGAGAGACAAAGAAAAAAAGAGAGAGGGGGAAAGGGAAAGAAAAAGAGAAAGGAAAGAGAGAGAGGTGGAATGTGAAAGGGAAAAGAAAGGAAAGGGAAAGAGAAGGAGAAAGAGAAAGGAAAGAGAGAACGAGAGAGAGAAAGAAAAAGAAAAAGAAAAAGAGAAAGAAAAAGAAAGAGATAGAGAGAGTGAGAGTGAGAGTGTGTACCTAGTTAAATAGTTAAAAGGGAAATAAAGTATTTTACATTCCGTGAAAGAAAAAAGGGACAATAGAGAGAGAAAACATTAGTCAGAAGCGACATCAAGTAGGAGGAGGAAACAAAGGATAAAATTATTGATTTAAACAATTGTAATGACAAGAAAAAAAAACATAAGAGGGAGGAATAAAATGTAAAATCGGGATCCTTTATTTCTCAGCAGCCCTTTTAACCCCTCCCCCCAAACTCCCCCAGCCCCCAGTCCCCTCAGCCTCCAGTCTCCAGACCCCCTCCCCCAGCCTCCAACCTCATTCCTCCAGCCTCCAGACCCCCTCCCCCCTCTCCCAGCCCTCATTCCTCCTGTCCCCAGCCTCCAGCACCCCTCCTCTCCCCCAACCTCCAGCACCCCCCCCCCCAACCTCCAGCATCCCCCAGCCTCCAGCACCACCCCCTCCCCCAGCCTCCAGCCCTCATTCCCTCAGCCCCCAGCTCTCCATTCCTCCCACCCCCTGCCTTCCACCCCACCCCCCCCACCCCCCCCCCTCCCCAGCCCCCTGCCCTCCACCCCGGCCCCCGCCCCAGCCCCCAGCCCCCAGCTCTCCATTCCTTCCACCCCACCCCACCGCCCCCACCCCCAGCCCCCAGCCCCCATCCCCCATCCCCCATCCCCCAAGTGCTATTGAGCGGCGCCACACAAGGTCCGCGATGGTTCCAAGAACTCACCTTTGTGTCTTTACAAGTCGTTAGGGATGTGACGCACGTCGGAGATGAAACCGGAGACGGGGAGGAGGGAGAAGGGAGGAAAGGGAGGAGAGAAGGGGAGGAAGGAGGAGGAAGGGGAGGAGGAAAGGGAGGAAGGAGGAGGGAGGAGAGAAAGGGAGGAGGGAGGGAGGGAGGGAGGGAGAGAAAGGGGAGGAAGGAGGAGGGAGGAGGAAGAAAGGGGGAGGGAGGAAGGGAGGAGGGTGAGGGAAGGAGGAGGAAGGAGGGGGAGGGAGGGAGGGAGGAGGAGAAAGGGGAGGAAGGGAGGGAAGAGGGGAGAAAGGGAGGAGGAGGGAGGGAAGGAGGAGGGGAAGGAGGGGAGGAGGAGAAGGGGAGGAAGGAGGAGGAGAGGAGGGAGGAGGGAGGGAGGAGAGAAAGGGGAGGGGAGAAGGAGGGGGAGAAGAAGAAGAGAGAAAGGGAGAGAAAGGAGGGAGGGAGGGGAGGAGGAAGGGAGGAGGTAGAAGGAAGAAGAAGAGAAGAAGGGGAGAGAAAGGAGGAGGGCGGAAGAGGTGGTGGTAAGGAAGAGGAGGGAGGATAGAGGAAGGGAAAGAGGGGAAAGAGGAGGACGGGAGGATGGGAAGGAGGAAGAGGAGAGAGTGGGAAGGAAGAGAGGGAGTTGGAATTGACGTTGGAGTTGAGTTGGAGGAGGGAAAGGGGAAGGGGAGGGAGGGAGGAAAAAAAGAGTAGGAGGAGGAGGAGGAGGAGGAGGCGGGGACGGAGACCGAGGAGAAGGGCGGGAGCAGAGAAGGGAGCTGAAGTGAGTTTGTTTAAAGGAGGGAGAGAAAGAACGAGGAAAGAAGATTAAAGGAGTAGTGAATGAGGCGAGACAGTGAGAGGGGAAGGAGAGAGTGAAAGGTATGACACGGAAAATGCAGGAGTTGAAGGAATGAGGTAATAAGAAAACGAAGGAGAAAGAGGATGAGAACAAAGAATGGAGGGAACAGGTGGACGATGATAAGGGAAGAAGTCAGGAGTGTGGAGAATAGATGGGAAGTAAACAGGGGAATGGGAAGGAAACGGAGAAACGGATAAATATATAATATATAATATATATATATATATATATATATATATATATATATATATATATATGCTGTGTGTGTGTGTGCGCGCGCGTGCGTGCGCGTGCGTGCGTGCGCATATGTGTATGTATTGATGATTTAAAGACAATATAATTGGTCAAAATTATTCTTTATGATGACAGAGGAGAGAAGAAGAAATAAAGAGACTAAATAAAAGGGGAGGAAGAAATTTCTTGAGAAGGAAGGAGAAGATGGAAGATGAGAAGAAAAATACAGGAAGAGAGTGATGGAAATTGAAGAAAGGGAGGGAATAAAAAAAAAGGGGAGAAAGCGAGTAAAAATGGGGTGAAGAAGATCTGAGAAAGTAATAAGAAAGGAAAGAAAGAGATTATTGATTAAAGTTAAAAGTAAGGGAATCAAGTATACATGAAAGTAGAAAAAAAACAGAACTTGAGCATCTTCGCTTCATATGCCTTTGAAGGAATATTTAGAAGAGATAAAGAATTGAGAAGAGGAGGATGTAGACGGAAGAGGGAAAGAAAGATTAAGAGAAGAGGGGGGGGGGGGGGAGGGGGAGAGGCCAAAAACGCAATCTGGGAAGAAGGAAGTTATTCGTTTGGCCAAAAGGAAACGCAAGTCAGATCAGGTCAATTCCCACACATAAAATTATTGCTGACCCCGGGGAGCATAGCGCGAGCCAAGAGGTCAGCAGGCAGGGAAATGTCAGCGCATCACCTTGCCGTGGGATTGAGCTCGGAATCAGCGCCCGTTCCCAGAGGCATCTGCATGAGAATGGAATCGATAGAATCAGCATCAAAGTGGGATTCAGCCTCGAGTCGTTCAGGGGCGTAGGACATCCATTCACCGTTCTCCGAAGAGGTCGTCAGGCGTGGAGTCAGCAGGTATCAGTCGGACGTAATCAGCACAGGCGTTGTCACAGAAACTTTAGAAACTTAAATCAATCCTCTGAGTTGTGTTAAACTATGAGAAACTTAGAACTAAGAGTCAGCACCTCAGAGAAACTTAGAATGAATCCTCTAAGTTGTGTTAAACTTTGTCAGCACCTTCAGAGAAACTTAGAAAACTTAAATCAATCCTCTGAAGTTGTGTTAGACTTTGAGTCAGCACCTTCAGAGAAACTTAGAAACTTAAATCAATCCTCTGAGTTGTGTTAAACTTTGTCAG